TTTAGGGCATCACTCCGAACATCCTTTTTTAAGGGAAAATCAACCAACAAACACTCATTTTTTACGTTGAACTATGAAGCTCTGACTTCCTCATTGTACCATGAAGGTACGTAGGCACAAGGTGTCAACACCGAGGCGAGCACCCTAATAAAAACATCCATTTCCCTATAGCAGATAAACCTTTAGATAAATGACACCCTTTCATGCGCATATAACTTAGATGGTTCCCGTTGAGTACAATAGATGTGGGGGTGCTAATACTTTCCTCTTACATAACCGACTTCTGAACCCGACATTGATTGCGACAACCATGTCCTATCCTTTTTTCGCCCGTGGGTTTTATCGATATTTTCTCTTTCTCTCTTTTGGGAATAAATAAAGTTCGGTGGAAACTCTCTGTTAGTTAATCATCCATGAGCTTTTCCTCACGAGGTCGTTTTTTTTGTTGAGGTACGACGGACATATGAATGATCAATGCATGCAATGTTAATGCTTATGAAGAGTGGGATAATTTGCCAAACACAGTTGCATTTTTCTGTGGTATTGGAGTTCTGATTCCCAGACACAAGGAACTCTTTCAATTATGGCCTTGGATAGATGCCTTTGAGGTGCTTTTGTTAGACCTACTGGTTATGTACCTGGCTAATGATCCCTTCGGAAATTTGATAGGTTGTACTCCATGGAGATTCTTTCTGTGGTGATCTAAGAATGTTTTACGACTTTGTGACTTTTGAAAAACCATCAATTTTCCTTTAATCATTTCAAATGTAAAAAAGTGTGTGCTTTTCAATATGTTTATTAAACCTTATTTTATAAATGTTATCGTAAAAAATAAATGACATTTTGCAAAAGAAATAAAAAAAGAAAAACACGAAAGAAAAACTTTTGATATGAAAATTTGGATTTTATTCAGGGAATGGTGGCACACGAAGGTGTAACTCCATGTAAAATATTACAAAGAAGGCAACTGAAAATGGCAATGAGAATGGGGGTTTACATTGAATCGAACAACCACTCATTTCCCTATAATCATGAGTTCGTAGAACCTTGATTCTGAAAAGAGTAACTAGATTGATCCTTCCAACTTCCGGTTCTTCTCCGTTGATTATTCTTGCCTGATGCAGTCTCTTTTCCTTTAAAAATACCTATTTTTTTGCCTTTTAAGTTTTTGACTTAGCGGGCTAATATTTTTTTGTATCCCTAATTTTTGTCTGGATCGTTCTTCCGAGTTTTCAGTCCACTGAGATGTCTTTTTTTGCCTAAGTCGCCCTTTTGGGTTTTCGACTTAGTGGGTTGCCTTCCTCTTTTTTAGGCATAATATTTTTTTCTTGCATCAGATTTCACCGAGAGTGGAAACACTTGGCCATACATGGTTGTAAGAATCATAGCTCATCCAGAGAATGCTTTCTTTACAATGTATGGGCCTTAGTAGTTTGGAGTCCACTTCCTGCATGAATCTTGTGTATGGGCAAGATCTTATTGAGCACAAGATTACCTTTCTTGAAATCTTAAGACGAACCTTCTTATCAAATGTCTTCTTGAGCCGTTTCTGATACAATTGACCATGGCACAGAGCTATCATGCGCTTCTCGTATATAAAGTTCCATTGGTCAAACCTGTTTTGAATATATTCAGCCTTTTCTAACTTGGTGTCCATTAAGATTCGCATTGATGGGATCTCCATTTTGATAGGAAGTATTGCTTCCATACCATATACTAGAGAGAACAGGGTTGCCCCTGTTGAAGTGCAGTCAAACCTCCAGTATTTGTGTAGTGCAAAAAGAAGCAACTTGTGTCAGTCCTTATATGTTTTCACCATATTCTGCAGGATCTTTTGATATTTTTATTTTCTGCTTCTACAATGCCATACATTTTTGGCCAATACAGCGATGAGTTATGGTGCTCAATATTAAAGCTCTCGCATAAATCTTTTATCATCTTGTTGTTTAAGTTTGACCAATTATTGGTGATTATTTTGCTAGAAATTCCATAGTGAAACATTATCTCTTTCTTGATAAACCGGACGACCACTTGTCTTTTTACATTGGCATAAGAAGCAGCTTTTACCCACTTGGTGAAGTAGTCGATGGCAACCAAGATGAAATGGTGTCCATTAGAATATTTAGGCTCAATGATACCAATCATGTCAATGCCCTGTATTGAGAATGAACAAGGAGATGTTAAGACATTGAGAGGGGTTGGTGGTACACGCACCTTATACGCATTAACCTGGAACTTGTGGCATGTTTTGGCATAGTGAAAACAGTCAATTTCCATAGTCAACCAATAATACACGACCCTTAGAATCTTCTTTGCCATAGCAGGCCCATTGGTATGAGTCCTAAAGAATCCTTCATGGATTTATTTGATTAATATGTCTATTTCATGTCTATCCACACATCTGAGCAGAACCATGACATGGTTTCTTTAATAGAACATGTCACCACTCAGGAAGAATTTTTACACTAACCTTCTCAAGGTTTTCTTGTCCATGATCGAAGCATTAAACGAGTATTCTTATTTCTGGAGATAACATTTGATGTCATGAAACCATGGTTTACCATCAGTTTCCTCTTGAACTAATTGATAAAATGTCGGTTCATCTCTATGATTCATTCTTATGATCGGAGCTTCATTATAGAAATTCACTTGGTACATTGGTGATGATGTATCTAAAGTGTCTGCCACCTGATTTTCCTCTTTATGAATGTGATGAAAAGTAGCTAAATTATGGGATAATGTAGTTAAAGTGTCTGCCACCCGATTTTCCTCTCTAGGAATATGATGAAAAGTAATTTCATCAAAGTATTTCATTAGTTCCACGACATGAGCACGATATGGAATCAGCTTAGGATGACGGGTTTCCCGTTCTCCTTTTACTTGGTAAATAACTAGTGTTGATTCTTCATATACCTATAGGATTTTGGTCCTTAGGTCAATAGCAACTTCAATGCCCTTTGATTCATAGTTCATATTCTGCCATGTTGTTCGTGCAATCAAAACATAATCTTGTTGTGAAGGGAGTATAACTATTCCTTTGAGAGACTAAGACAACTCAAATTCCATGACACATAGAATTTGAGGCACCATTGAACACAAGCTTCCATCGAGCTATTGGTTTGGGCCTTTCATCATTACCTATGACCTTATCATTGTTTAAGACCATGATGTCTTCATTAGGGAATTCAAGCCGTGTGGGTTGGTAGTCTTCCATTGGTTGGTGTGCGGGGTACTCTGACAACACACTGCCTTTTATAGCTTTCTGGGTGACATACTGAATATCATATTCAAATAACACATCTTCCATCAAGCAATCCTCCCATTTAGGGCAGGTTTCTCAAAGATGTATTTGATTAGATCAATTTTGGATACCAACTAAGTTGTATGAGTCAACATGTATCGTGTCAAGCGTTTTGCGACCCATTCCAATGCATAAAAAGTTTTCTCGAGCATTGAGTATCTTGTTTCACATTCGCTGAACTTTTTACTTAGATGATATATGACATGCTCCTTTTTGCCGGTATCGTCATGTTGCCCTAGCACACATCCCATTGATCCATCAAGTATTGTTAAGTGCATTATTAGTGGTTTGCCTGGGATATGTGGAATCAAGATATGAGGCTCTTGCAAATAGTGTTTGATCTTCTCAAGTACCCCTTGGCAATCTTTATTCCAATCAATTGTTTGATTTTTTTGAATCAATTTGAAGATTGGCTCACAAGTAGCCGTCATGTGATAAATGAACTTGGAAATGTAATTCAATCTTCCTAGAAATTCTCTGACCTCCTTTTCAGTTCGCAGAGCAGGAATCCCTTGTATTGCTTTTACTTTATCAAAATCCACTTCAATTACTTGTTGGCTAACTATGAATCCAAGTAATTTTCTGGATTGGACACCAAATATGCATTTGGCAGGGTTCAATCGTAGCCTGAATTTTCTTAAGTGCTCGAACAATTCTTGTAAGTGGTTCATATGATCCTCTTCACTCTGAGATTTGGCAATCATGTCATCGACATACGCTTCAATCTATTTGTGCATTATATCATGGAAAAAGGTAAGCATCGCTCTCTGATAGGTTGTCCCAGTACTTTAGTCAGAATGGCATTACCTTGTAGCAAAATGTTCCTCATGGGGTGATGAACGTAGTATTTTCCATATCTTAAGAAGCCATCATGATCTGTTATAATCGGAGAATCTGTGCATTAAAGAGAATACTGAGAATTTGGTAGTGTTGTCTACCAATACATCAATATGTGGTAGAAGGAAATCGTCTTTTGGACTAACTTTGTTCAAATCCTTGTAGTCAACACACATTCACACCTTGTCATCCTTTTTAAGAAGTAGACTTTGCTCAAAACTTATTCGAAACAACTTTCCCACTTTAGAATTAAATTTATTAGACAATGCAGTTATTTTGTTATTCAGTTTATGTTGCAAATAAATTTTGTTCAAAAAATTTATTTGGATTTGTATTTTATACTATTTTGTTGTGTATGATGACTATGTTTAGAATTTGAATTTAAAGAATGAACTTGTGAAATTATAATATTTTGAAATTGTGTAGGTGTTATGATATTTTTAAAAACTAAGTCATCCAGTTCGACCGATTTGATAATTTTTTTAGTTTTGTTTATAAAAACTAATTTATTTGATCAAATTATCTGATTTAATCTAGTTTAGACACGTGATTCGACTAGTATCAACTCCACAAATTCTAATTCACTATTATCACCTATCCTTACCTCTTTTAAGTTTTAGTACGGAATTAAGATTATAAATGATGTAAAAGTGCTAAATTAGATAAAGATGATAAAAAATCTAAATTAGGAAGTTATTCATTTCTTTAAACTAAATTTGAAAACAAAATTCTCCCACCTTTGAAGTTTGGTAACTCACCCCACAAAAATTCAATACTATTTATGACCATTTTGAGTGTAACATATGAGAATGTATAGTCTGTTTGTTTCACTTTATTTCCCCTTTCACTTCATGCAACAATTATGTCTTCTTATTTTCTCTCTTCAAACCCCAAAATGCATACTTTCTCTATGTTACCTTCTCACTCAACTCTACAAATTTCAAACCACATAACTATACCCAAGTTTCACCCTTTTCAATCATCTCATTCTCACCATTTTTCTTCTTCACCACTTAGACTCGCCATTGATGGATTTTCATGCCCATCTTCTTCTTTCTTTCAATCTCTTAGAAAGTCTTCACCTTTTCTCATTTCCACTCAAAAAATTCATTCTTTTAGAATCCTTGCTGCTTCTCTTCCAGAGGGGCAAAGTCATGAACCAACTCAACCTTCTGGTTTTGTTCAATCTCTACAACTTGGTTTCATGTTTGCTACTTGGTATCTCTTGAATATTTACTTTAACATTTACAACAAACAGGTTTTTCTTTTTTTCCTTTCAATCCTTTATTTTGAGTAAAAAGTTTTCATTTTTATGCAATTATTGGATTGATTAGCAATGAATTGGATTATGGGTGGGAAGGGAAATGGTCAAAGTCAAAGAAAATTGTGTTTTTTATGATAAAATTTTGAAATTTTCATACATAGACTTACATAGTACATGAAAAGAATTCTGGGCCATGGTCATCACTATCTTACATGTTAGTTGTTTCTCGATTCGATACTAAACTGAACTCGGACGATACGAATTCCTAATGTTTATATATTTTGGTTCATGATATGAATTGTGAATTATTGAGGTTTGCATGTGATATTTCAACTTATAATCTTGCTATTGTCATTCATGATTTGAAAAAAAAGGTCTTTTGATTCATGATTTGAGTCTTGATTTGATAACCATGTTTTGTTTATATGCATTGGTTGTGTATTATTAGGTTCTAAAAGTCTATCCATTTCCAGCAACAGTTACAGCATTTCAATTTGGCTTTGCTTCATTGGTGATTAATTTGATCTGGACTTTGAATCTCCATCCAAGACCAAATATCAGAAGATCACAGGTAATTTTGATTTTCGATGAAAATCGACTAGTCCAATTCATGGTTTTCAACTGTCGAAACTGCTTTGTTTACTGATTGATTGGTTTGGTTTTGTTTCAAAGGTTGCAGCAATTCTTCCACTGGTTATGGCACATACATTGGGAAACCTGTTGACCAACATCAGTCTTGGCAAGGTTTCTGTTTCATTCACTCACACCATTAAAGCTATGGAGCCTTTCTTCACTGTTGTTCTTTCATCCCTTCTCCTCGGTGAGGTAACGTCGAATTGAAGTCTTCAGTTTCTTATAAAACTGTTAAGTTGCTAAAGAATATACACTTTTTGTTCTACTCCTTGTTTTCACTCTTCAACCTCAACAAATTACAAATCTGCATGGACTAAAAACATGTAATTTTGCAGTTTGTAGGGGCTGAAGTGAATAACAAAGTTTTGGTTTTCTGAAAATAAGTTTTGATTCTTAAATGAACAGGTGCCTACTTTTTGGGTGGTTTCTTCTCTTCTGCCGATAGTCGGTGGAGTGGCATTGGCTTCAATGACTGAAGTTTCTTTCAATTGGTAATCCATCAAACTAAAGCTTTTACATGCAAGAGGAACTTCAGAGACAATATTGAATAAGATCGTGTTTAGATAAACAGCTTAATTAAGCGCTTATAGTAGAAAATTAAATTGTTTTCATCTGCTATGATTTGTTGGAACAATGATGCAGACGTAGACACCAGAAACGACCCTGACACGTGAACACCGATAATGTTTTCAGAAATAGAATAACTTAATGTAATCATATGTATTGGTTTCGGACACTAGACATGTCTTAGATTGAAATTCGCAGTACTACATAGGTTAAGATTGTTTCTGAGTTTGACATGTTCTGTCTCAAAACAGGATTGGATTCAGCACTGCAATGGCATCCAACCTTACGAATCAATTGCGGAACGTTATGAGCAAAAAACTAATGGCTAATGAAGAGGTAACAAAAGTACTTATTCAAACTGTTGCAATATATTCTGTTAAAAACATGCCTAATCGATTGAACCATGTTTTTGACAGGAAGCTTTGGACAATATCAATCTCTATTCAGTTATAACCATCATTTCCTTTTTCTTTTTGGTACCATGTGCTATATTTTTGGAGGGTTTCAAGTTTACTCCTTCGTACCTGAAATCTGCGGTATGTAAACAAGTTTTACACTTTTTTAATCAATTTTAAATAGGGTTAAATATATTTTAATCTCGGTAATTGATGAAGAGAAAAATGTGGCTATGATATAGTATGTTACTTTCTTTATAGGCAAGCCACGGATTGAATGTTAGAGAGTTATGCATAAGATCAGTTTTGGCTGCATTCTGCTTCCATGCTTACCAGCAGGTGAGACTTTTCAAGTTTTGTGGTATGCTTTGATTGTGTGAATAATGTGATTTTCTACTTAAAAGAAACTTTCAAGATCAAGTCAATAATCAATTTTTTTTTGAAAAAAATAATTTCTAAGGTTGTCATTAATATGGTTCTATGGTCTATTTTTGAGTTTGTCATTTTTTGGTCATGACATTTCCTGAGATTTGGTCCATAATTTAATTATCATAAGTTTACAATTCAATCTTCTTTACACATACATATTTGTCATATTTAGTTGTCATGTGTTCAAACTAACGAAATAGTCAAGAAGCGTTGAAACTGACACCAGACATGGTCTTGTCACTTATATGTTAACAACCGTAATAATTTAAGAAAATAGAATATAACTATATGTATATGTATCAGACATGCTTTTAATCATTTATTTAGTACTAAGTATTGAGGCATCAATAATTGGTGTTGAAGGTAAATAATGCATGATTTGGTGACAGGTTTCATATGGGATATTAGAGAAAGTGTCCCCTGTGACACACTCAGTTGGAAATTGTGTGAAACGTGTGGTTGTCATAGTCTCTTCTGTTATCTTCTTCCAAACTCCTGTCTCACCTATCAATGCATTTGGTATGTCTTTCTCTCATGTTTTCAAGTGGTGTACAAATTTTTGGTGTCTGCTATTCATTTTTATTTTCTGTGGTCCTAATTTTGGTTGCAGGAACTGCTATTGCACTTGTTGGTGTTTTCTTGTACTCAAGGGCAAAGAGGATTAAGCCAAAAATAAATACAGCATAATTACTTAGAATACTATAGAAGTATGTTGGTAGCTAATTAATTAGATTACTAGTGCAGTTATAAGATATCAAAAGCTACCAAGAAATTTGTATTGGTTTTTTCTTTTATAGATATTATATATGCTTCACCATGCAAAGTCTCAATTGTTTGGGATGAGACTGACCTTACACTCATTAAATTATTTTTTTAAGATATCTGGGCAGATATTTTTACATTAAAATAATCAAATGTGTAATTTTGATTAAGATATTTTAAACATGAGTTTAATATATGTTTGGCATTATAGTTTTAGAAAATCCTTTCATGTGAAAAAAACATGAGTAGTCATACTTTTTTAATCTCTACCATCTTATCCATCTATCTCTATTTTAAAAGACCCACTCAGTCATGACTAAAGGGTAAGATTCAAAATGACCAAAACTGAACACGAAATATAACACAGACTGAACAGTGTAATAAACTACCAAGAAACACATAACAGCTGAAGAGACTAAATCAGTAGGAATACTAACTGAAACAGTAACAAAGACATCATCAAGGGAAGAATGTTACAATTCTTTCAGCTCAATAGAGGTCAACCAAATTGAAGTTGGTATAGTATAAGCTCATTAAGATATGGCATATAAAAACACCAAAATTTTGAAGATACACCATTCATTTTGAGGTTGGTAAAAATTATGTCAGGAATATAAAGCCACAACTAAAGGTTCACTTGAAATGCTTTGTCGGCGCAAAATGCTACAATGATTGGACCAGCCAAATCACCAGCAGCGCATCCTGAAAAAAGAAGAGAAAAAAAGCAATGTTTTTGTCTTAGGAAGTCAAATTATTAAGAATCAACCTAACACAATTAAAGCACAAATATTGAAGTAATAGTTTTTTTGGATGTGTTGCTAACAATCTTACCAATCCATTGGCCAAGTGATGGTCGGACAAGGGTAGCACCGATTCCTGCACCTATGGAGGCAAAAATTAAAGATGAACTACACCTTATTGAAGCAAGGGCAACCTTCTGTCCAAGAATTCGAACTTGCTCGGTTGTATCGATGTCACTATCTTCATCATTGGACCTGAAAATGGTTCTAAAGAATCGATACAAGTCAATGCCTACTTGGACAACCCAAGATGCCGCAACTCCTAGCATATGTCCTGTACGTAATGAAACATATAGTTAGTACAATATAGTTGATGTTAAATGGTAATCTCAAAATACACAGATGATTTATACAAATCTATTGACCTCTGAATGTTGTTCTGCTCACAGAGAAGAAGTAAACATGGGTAGGCAAGTTCCTTGCAGCCTTGCGAGTAGCCGACTTAGGAACATCTGTTGGGGAAAAAATGCGACAAATGAGTGTTTGTAAGATCTCTTGATAGCACACAGCCAAAAATAAAAAAGCATCACCCGCCCATAAAATTGCAGTATGGTAAATATTAATCTCTTTGGGTGTATGCAATAATCTCTAAAATATAGATGAAGCCATTATAGAATTTGAAGAGCATACCTTTTAGAAGCTTGGATGCCATTCGCAGTGAAACATAATGAACAGAAATTCTTTCTAAAATCCTTCTAGTGGTCACAACACTTGTCTGTCATAACATCCAAAACACATTTAACTTTTGAGTTTAAAACACAGAAACATATTATGAATAGGGTGAAAATGCCAAGACAAATTCAGTTAAACTTGTTCTAACTTGTGTGTTTTAGTGCTTAAAGTACCTTCTTGGGCTTTCAAGTTTTTGATAATGGAAACTAGTCATTTTTGCTTCAATGTTTTTTTTTTTTTTTAGAATGAAGCATTTTCATAGACATCATTTAACATAGAAAACACAGGCATTCACATAAATCAAATAAGATGGACATCATTTACCACTAGCATTCTGTTTATTTTTCCTTACATTATTTCCTTTAGTTCAAGCTAGACATCATTTAACATAGAAAACACAGGCATTCACATAAATCAAATAAAACTTCACTACCACAACCATCTCCTCCTCATGATGATGCCTACTACTATAATAATTTGTCTGGAATTTTTTATGTAAGATCATTTGGTGCCATTGGAGACGGTATAGAAGATGATACAGAATCATTTAAGATGGCATGAGACACTGCCTGCCAAAATGAATCACAAGTTAATGTTATTATTATTCCCGGAGGCTTCTCCATCATCGTTCTGTCTACTATCTCCACCGGTCCTTGTCAAGGTGACTTAGTACTCAAGGTCATAAAAATGCAATACTTACTCAATACAAATTTTCTATGTTGTACCTCGATCCAGCAGCTTAAAGTTAAATTACGGGTTTTATACGGCCATGCAGCCCGTCCAGCGAAACATCAACTATTGGATTTGAGTTGCAGCTCGATCCAATGATTGATGCCTGTTCTAACTGCACATGCCCGTCGAGAGATTTCTTACTAGCTAATTAGCTGATGGAATTTTATGGTATGATCAATTAGGTGGATGGCACTGTTATGCCACCTGATGGACCAGAATCTTAGGGAAAGAACAGCATTAGGACAGTAGCTGGTTTTTTACAGAATCAATGGAACGTCACTAGGAGGAAGTGGTTTAATAGATGGAAGAGGACAAAAATGGTGGGACCTTCCTTGTAAGCCTCAGATTTGATGGCTGCAATGCACTAATGTCTATATAGATTCAATTTACATTACAGCTCCAAAACTAAGTCCTGACACTGATGAAAGTCACTTAGAAAATGTCAATGATGTGAAAATATAAAATTCTGTGGTTGCTATAAATAGCTGAGCAGAGCTCTTGTAAAACTTCAATTTTCATTTTTCAATTTCTTCCATCAACTACATGAATACATTTTAGACCATCCTGGATAACTTGCATGGTACCCAATCTTTCACGTAGTACAAGCGATATTTCCCAAAATTAATAAACCACGTAATAAACCATGAAAACTTATAAAAGCCGTCAACAACTTGAAAACGAGTAACTGTAAGGGTAATTTTGTGAGGGTTTTCCTCGTGCAACAACACCTCGTTGCAAGGAAGTTAACTGACAACTAAGTTATATATTCAAAGTTATAAAACCAAGATTCAAAATAAAGGAGAGGTAATGAAACAGGACAGGCTTTTTCTTGCTCAATATCATTCACCTAAAGTGTGCAACAGAAACCAACAGTTGGTATAACCTAGAGAGCCATGCAGAAACTAAAGTCCTATCATAGTTCACTCAGTGTATAATTTTCACAACATGAGAGGCAGTTTTCAAACTAAACACAGACAGTACATACCCTCTAGACTCAATTTGGATGAACTTTTATACCAAAATGTGACACCCACGTTAATCTATATCTAGTGAACTTGGCCAATTTCAACTATTATTACTGTTTGTAAAGTTCTTACTCTTTTTTTTTTCTCAAATGATAATCTTCCTTGAGACCTTTTATGCAAAACCATTTGGCTCAGCATCTCCTTAGAACAAGAAGTCAAGCTAAAAAGTATTTGGACAGATATACACACCATACAAATAGATAGAGATTTGAGTAATGTTAACCTACATCAAGTATGTGAAGTAAAAGTATGAGTGTAGAGAAATTTTGTAGCTTCTAAAATTGAGACAAACAAAAGCATAAAATAACAGCAAAAGCTGTCTTCCTCAATTAACATGTTTGTTTGTCTATGACAAAGATAATCTACATATAGAAGAGGTTTTGCACAATACAAGCTACATGCAGCAGCTTGAAACTATTTTTACTGATACTAAACAACAAGCCACACACGGCAATTTCATAAATTGTGAATAATGAAAGAAATAAGTATTACTAAAAGTTAAAACAAGAATAAGAAAAAGAAAATCTCACCTCGCGGACGATTTGTTTCACCGACTTTTTGAAGGGAACAACCAGATCAACATGGCGTTCTTGATGTGCCCCTGTAAGTTCCTCTAGAAAGTCCTCATCATCATCATCATCATCTTCCATTTCCACACGCGGTTCCAAAAGAGGTAAATAGTGCATCAGGAATGACCTTATTGAAGTCATTCCCAGTGACCTCAATTCAAAAGCAGAGAATAGAGGTTTAGGTTGGACATTGTACGTTTTTGTACTGAATTTTTCAACGTCATAGTTGTAAATCCTTTCAGAAGCACTTTGTATATTAGAAATAAAATCTTCAGATAATGTTGCGCCAGCATCAGAATATGCCACTGGTGACCTGAAATTAAAGAGGTGTGATTGCTAAATGTATAAGTACGCAGGACGTCAAACCAAAGTAATGCATATATGTCTAAAATACAATGATAAATTACACTTGGGTGCAGTGCAACAACTTTAAAACCCTGTCTTTTACACCTCGGATGTTTCAGAAATACATAATTTTTAGCCTAACCCCTTTGAAGATTTAAGGGTTCTAGAGAAGTTAAAATTCAGTAAAATCGGTGACAGCAATGTCATATTAGATTATTTTCTTCACTAAAAAATCACCAACAGGATAACCTATGTCTCTATTCTCTTCTATATACACATAGAATCATGTTTACTATTCAACCATTTTTTCCTAGAAAATCATCCACGCATTACAAATTCTTGTCCACTAATATTATTTATACAATCTGAAAATAAATCTCAATGCAACATGGTAAGCTTCACCTATTAGAAGCACACCGACCATTCATGTAAGTATGTAAACCAAGCAAAATGGGAAATTCCATGTTATTGAAGTTTGAAAATAGCAAAGTTAAAAAATTAGAATCTCCTTAAGTGTCAATTGTTAAGCAATAATATATTCAATCATTCAAACACTTATTCAGTTATACCAAAGCTAGAAAACTAGAATCTCGATGTTTGGACCGACGCTAGGTTTAGCAGAATCACATTAAGACACTGTAATTGTGACAAAATCTACACTTTAATTTCCAAGATATTGTACATTTCCACCACAAAAACCTCAGTTTCCAACCACATACTTAAGCTTCAAAAAACTCACTCACAGTGCCACCATGATTATGTCAAACTCACCATGAATCCAA